ATTCAAAACTCTCATTTTCTTTCAAATATTCAATCTTTATACATTAAAAAGGTCTAGTGACATAATAGGTACTTTAATTGAAGTATTTTCATTCAAATATTCAATCTTTACTCATTAAAACACTCTTCGGGGGATGTCAAATGGAACTCGTATAAGTTTAACTCAAAACTCTCATTTTCTTTCAAAGATTCAATCTTTATACATTAAAAAGGTCTAGTGACATAATAGGTACCTTGATTAAGGTATTTTCATTCAAAGATTCAATCTTTACTCATTAAAACACTCTTCGGGGGACGTCAAATGGAACTCGTATAAGTTAAACTCAAAACTCTCATTTTCTTTCAAAGATTTAATTTTTATACATTAAAAAGGTTTAGTGACATAATAGGTACCTTGATTGAGGTATTTCCATTAAAAAATTCAATCTTTAGTCATGAAAACTTTCATTTTCTTTCAAAGATTCAATCTTTATAAATTAAAAAGGTCTAGTGACATAATAGGTACCTTGATTGAGGTATTTTCATTCAAAGATTCAATATTTACTCATTAAAACACTTTTCGGGGGGACGTCAAATGGAACTCGTATAAATTTAACCCAAAACTCTTAATTTTTTTCAAAGATTAAATCTTTATACATTAAAAATATTTAGGTACCTTGATTGAGATATTTCCATTCAAAGATTCAATCTTTAGTCATGAAAACACTTTTCGCGACTTCATAAGGAACTCGAAAAGTTAAACTCAAAACTCTCATTTTCTTTCAAAGATTCAATCTTTATACATTAAAAAGTTCTAATAGGTAACTTGATTGAGGTAATTTTATTTAAAGATTTAATCTTTACTCAAACATAATATGTAAAAGTGTATGTAAGGGCAATTTAGTCAAACTATAATTTTACCGTATCTATTTGCACCAAATTAAAACTTTTTGAATATTTTCTGTACGGGATGTGATACGCACGGTAAAATACTTTAATTGTATTTTTTTGTACTTCACCCCATATATATATATATATATGTACAAATGGAAGGAAATTAATAGTGCCTTAATTGATTATATATAATTATGTGTATTTGAAATACACGTAAGGGAATTAATAGTGCCTTAATTGATTATATAATCAATTAAGGCACTATTAATTCCCTTCCATTTGTTATTCATTGCTGGGCCTCATGCACTGACATAAATAATAGAAAGATTGCAAAAGAAAATGATGAATATCAGTGGGATATAAATTGGTCACACGTGTCCTCCACCACCAATAAATGGAAAACGAGTCAAAAATGAAAGTAGTTGGCCTTACGTGTACTTCACTGTCTGAGTTCCATTAGATCTGCCATTCGAAATGATTAAAATATATATGTAGAATGGATGAGACTGCCGAATGTTTTTTTTTTTTTTTTTTCATGTAAAAATTCATACCCACGTCTGCTCTCTCGAATGTGCCTCACTTTACCTTTGAGAGATCGATTGATTCCCAATGCGGAATCATTCATTCACTGCAAAAAATATATATATTTGAAAATGGTTTTTGTTTTGTAACTTGCAATATAAGTTTCTCTGTTGGGGAATGCAATAATTGTGAGATATTTAATTTTTATGTTGGTGAATTTTGCTGTTAAAACTTGTTTATCCAGTCATAATTTTTTTGTTTTACTTGTGTCTTGAATTTTGGAGTTGAATTGCAAGTGCCTGGATACCGTGGAATTGGATGATGAAGACATCATTCAGTACAGGTATGTGAGTGAGGAGGACACTGTCCTCTGATGTTTGGTGGACTTGAACTTAAAATATGTGTTTTATTAAAAAATTTAGGTTCGAAAAACTTTCAACGTTCGCAGTTTTGACGATTGGTCCGATTACTACTAGTTAGGGAGATTTGTGAAGTGCCACTAGTCGCACTTTGGCAACCGATCGCACTTGTCACCACAATTACGGGATTCCATGTTTTAATTAGATTTTTATTTTTTTTTTTACACTAAACTTCTTGAGACATTCCATAACGTTTTAAAAACACTTTTCTTACTATTTCGAAGATTTTCAAAGTCTACTTCAGATTACACAATTTGATCACTGTTGTGGATTTCTTCCTTATTTCTTTGTACTTTTGAAAGGAAGGAGAATTCGTAATTACCAAGGGAGATAATTCGTGAAGCGATCACCACGATTATTGTGCACGAGAAAATATACTCCCTCCTTCCTTAAATAGATGTTTATGTTTAGAAATTAGAGTTATTAAGGGGACATGCAATTAATGCATAATCTTTTTTAAAATTATCAAATTGTCCTTTTTAATTTAAATATATATAGTTACAAAGTTTGAAATTTTTTAAAAAGATAAAGGACAATGATGGAAATATAATGAAAAGATACTTTGACTTTTCAAGGAGGACAACTAATTTGAAACATGTAAAAATAGAAAAATGGATTACTAATATAGGACGGAGAAAATAATATATATATATAGCACAAACAACAGAAACCAACCATGAAAGAGGTTCTTGAATAAGAAACTTCATTAATACCTAATCAAAGGTATATTCAAAAAATAACATAATAATAAAAGTTCACAATCATAGACAAAAATAAAAATAGTGATGTGAAACAATAATTACAAGTTTACAGCAATAGACAAAAGTAAAAATAATTACAAGTTTCACATCACTATTTTTACTTTTGTCTATTATTGTGAACTTTTGTTATTATTTTATTTAATTTTATTCTATCATTCACTTACCATTTCTTTTTCACACACATTATATTAATGAACCATACCCCAAAACAAGATTAGAAACAATTAAATTCAATTTTTACACTCATCACCACCTAGACTAGTTCCCATATATACATGTGACCTGTTACCCACTGAGGTTCAACCCTTGCAATCCAAATTTCATTTTTTTTTTTTTTTTCATTTTTTTTACTTTACAGTTTGTCGTGTGATTGGTGTATATTTAATTGTTAATCATTGTGGACAATTAATCAATTATAAAAAACGAAGACCGTTTTAAGTCAATATCTAATTTCACTAAAATAATTAACCACTCTTGCTCTCCCAAACTCGTATTTTTTTAATAAAAAATTAGTCTCGAAAAATGTCCATTTTTTATGGCTTATCCATTTGTAAGATAGATAAGTCATACGACAACTGACCATTTTTAAAATTTACTGTCTAAATCTTAAACTATTTACATAATTGATAGGCTATAATTTTAGACTCTATACTGTATATTCTTTATGGACTTTATAATTAAAAATTTTATTTTTTTGGTGAATTAGGTATTGTTTTTTAAAAAATGTGTTACTGTATAAGGTATGGATTTTCATTTATTTTATAATTGTATAAAAATTGAGCTTTAAAATTTTAATAAAAATTCATCAATTTTGCTCTCCCTATCCTAAAAAAAATAAAAAATATATTCTTTTTTAGGAACCTATATGTAGAGAATGAATTTTCAAATATACCCTTATATGGTAAGTCCATAAAAAGTAGATGAGATATCTACTTTGCCCATTTGGAAACTCGAACCATTACAATCCACTTTGAAGTAAATAAGATATCACTGGGTCACAAGGGTCTTGATAATGAGGGTAAATTAATAATATTAAAATAAAATAGTAACATTACATTTTAAATTGGGGCAATTATTTTGAGATTGCCAAAAATAAAAATGTGGACACTTTTTCTAGAACGAACATGGTACTAAAAATTCATTTTTATCAAATTATGCAATAAAAATACGTATTAAATATATTTTGAAATTACGTGTGAGATTGACAATAATTCACAATCGCAATAATTAATTCCGTTACATTATATCAATACGGGTCCAAGCTAATGGCCCAGAGCCAAATAAAATGCTACATTATCGAAAGGAAGTATCATTATGGGTGTGTAAAACGTACAACAGAAGTCTGAGGCCCGCTTAGTCTGGCCCTAATGTTTTCATTCTATGATTTATGTGTAAAACCTGGTCCAAACACACACTACATTCTCCCAAGTCACAGCAGTCAACCTTTTCTTTCTTTTTCTTTTTCTTTTTCTTTTTTTCCATTTTACGTTAACTTATAGATGCGCGAATGAAGAGAAGAAGATCAATTTGCGTAGAAGGTAAATGACAAAGAGATTGATCAAAATTAACATGAAATGAAGCAATAAAAAAATATTTTACAAAATTAAATTTAGTACTATTACTAGAAATGACGTGTTATAGAAAAAATTGTTAAAAAAAAATAAGAATTTATGTGCCCGATACATTTATACGGAATAAACACAAAAAAGTTGTGATACTAACACTGAAAAGTTGCAATAAATTGTCAAATCGAATACTTTTGATTGGTTATTTATCCAAAATACAAGTAAGTGGAGAGTCCTACTCCCTTATTTGCTGCACAGATGACCAATTAAAAATAGTAGGTCTGACAATTCACTACAACTATTCAGTATAAAAATTATTTTTCAACGGAAAAAATGATGGATGTGGTATTTCTCCTCCCTAGACTACCCAAGTCAATATTACATTTTGAATTGCATTGCCTTCTTTTTAAATAAAAACTTTCAAGTTCAGCCCAATAAAACCCAAATGAAGTTTGAACAAAGGATAAATTTCAAAAATCATTCGAAGCCTGTAGCTCGGCCCCAAGAGGCAAAAGGTCCGTGGACTGGGTTTGGGATAATCAAACATGTTTCAGGCCTGGTCCTTGAAGTAGTCAAAGCCCGGCAGGAATGGGCCTAGGCTCCCAATTCACAGGCCCAACTTGGCCTTTTTTCTCTTGGCAAACTGTGGGGAGGAAAGGAAATTCGAAAACGGGCACACCTGCTCGGGAAGATCGGCACTCTACCAACTAAGTCACTGGGTAATGCCGAATCCCAACTTATGTAATACTTGTGACAAATTTATAATCATATTATAGATAATTAAATATATTGTCTGAAAGGCCATGCATTCATGAAATTGGACTAATTTTTCATCCAGATTTTGTGTTGAAACTTTGAACAGATGAACAGCTGAGTTGATACTCAGTTCCAAAGTTCCAAATTTATAATCACTTTATAAATGTTTTGTTCTAAGTTTTAACACATCACAAATAACTGTTGAAGGCATTGCTTGAAGATTAATACAAAAGATGGTCTTTTAAACAAAGAATTTCACTTCAAAAACAATGATATCTGCAAATCATGAATTTCCTCTCTCTCTCTGTGATTGAATTTTGCAAAATCTTCGGCTCCTGTTCGTAATTAATTTTCCCGGCAACTTCTTGGATTCGATCAGTTGATTAATCTCTCCACATCGTTCTCTTTGGTGTCTTGTTCGCCTCCCCATTGTTTTATTCTATCCCCAGCAATTGAAGCCTGCATTGTCCAAGGAATTAGAATCATCTGTTGGTATCATAAATTATTGTAATTTCATTTCGAAATCATCCAAAACATTTTTGACCATTTCGTGCAGCTGGTGAATTTCATTACTGTTATAGTGAAATTTCATTGATAAGTGAATACGAAATTTCACCATTTTAGTAGTGAAATTCACCAACTCTTTCGGAACATCGAAAAATCGGTGCTTAGAGAGGATTTTATGCGGTTGTTACCTCTTTGTTCCAATTGGTTTTATAAATCATCCAGAACAAGACACAGGTTTGTACCACTGTTCCTGTCAGCATGCCATACCAAATCCCCTGAAAATTATCAATGTTGGGGTGAAAACCCATTAGAATAATAAACATTTCAGTTGAGATATATGTATATATATATATTCATGAACTCCCAAACCATTTGGATAAAGTTGGAAATTTTTATGGCTTAATTGCGTTCTTTTGATGCAAGTCAATTTTGGTCGGAGTTCTTTTTGTTGCTAACACTAGGGGCAATCTAGCTTTCAACTTCACTGAAGGACTAGCTCCGGAAATTCTCGCCATTTCAAGATTTGAGAAAGGTTTGGAGGTACACAGCCTTACTCCTCGTAAAGAGACTGTTTTTAAATTGTAACTCTTAAAATAAAAAACAAAATAAAATAAAATAAACCTAAACTTGCATAGTGACATGAAGAAGAAGATGGAGAGACCGAACATATATATATATTTACCTTGACACCCATGCCGAGTGTGAATCCCATTACGAGACCCAAAGGAACACCAAAAACATAATAGCAAGCAATATTTACATAAGCAACAAAAGCTTGCCATCCAGCTCCAATAGCCACTCCTGCAATATACAGAACGATATGATCTCTCTTCTTTAAAGAGAAGTCGAGTGTTCGACCTCTGTAACGAACTTTTAGAATATATATATATCGGAGAAAGAAGGCAATGGTACTTACCGGATAGAACGGGTTGAACATTGTTAATGATGATGCAAGCTGCTAGAACTGGTGTGAGATCATACACAAGCTCTTCAACTTCTTCATTGTCCGAAAACAAGGAAGGGTACTGTTTTCGGAAGATTATAAGAAAGAGTGAGAGGATGAGACCAATTACAAACGAACTTATCACCACGACCACCACTGAAAATTTTGCAGTTCTTGGATGTGCCGCGCCCAATTCATTAGACACCCTTACACTGCAAATACGTTGAATACGAGTTCGTGAGAAACTCTACTCATTTCATTGTGCTACGTTCGGTTGTATGGAATTAATATCTTCTTTCACCGATTTCAATTTCAAGGCATTATTTCCATACAACCGAACACAAGATATAATTCATGAAGAGAATTAATATTTCTGCAACTAACCTTATGGCTGCATTGCATCCAAGTGCCACCATGACCGCCCAACCCACAATGTTGGTGCTGCAAAATTAGAGACTAGTTATTTTTCATGACTATAATGGTAAGTTGTGGGTTTTTCTTATTACTTTTAAGATTATTATTAATTCAAGGTGTCACATCAATATATAAACCCGATATTTTGTTTTGATCGTAGTTAATATTTTATTACATTAATAGGATAGATTCCATCTCCACTCTTTCATCTCAAATAGCCCACCCTTTCATCCTCAATTGACAAAGATTCCCTAGCGAATAATTTTTGACATGTTGAACTAACAAACAGTCAATCTTCAAAGACACACAGATATCGCAACCTACCAGTCCACGCATGCTTGTCAAAATACAATTAATTTAATTTTAAAAGTTTATTAATATATATATATATATATATATATATCAATATTTGGTTAAGTCTTATCTACTGTGTTAGAGTCTGGTGTCACCCATATGCACAAGACAAATCAAACAACAACAGCTGTGGTTATCGTTCTCGTCCACTTAACAAATCATTCGAAAAGAGAACTCAAATTAGACACGAAAACATTCGTCTTTTTTTCTTTTTTCATAAAAAGGATTCGGAGTTTGCATTTGTTAAGAAAGATGACAAATTCAGTTTTAAATCTGTCTTATTATTATATAAAATGACAATTCTTTTTAGTTGTCGCTGGTGAGACACCGAATCCAAATCCACTGTCATACAAATGGCAAAATGATTATATATTTGGATCATTCTCAATGAGTCCAATGCGTTCAAAAGTTAGAAAATTCGGAAAAAAGAAATTCTCATTTTCAATGAGTCCAATGCGTTCAAAAGTTAGAAAATTCCGAAGAAAGAAAATCGAATTTATAAGTAGAGACATTTAAAGTTTGGTCATTAATCATTCTAACGGCAATGTTACACCTAATAGATAAGATTTAAATTCCTAAAACATACCCAATCGAAATGATAGTTTGCTTGAATTTTTGGTAAATGGAATGTTAGGTTAAAAACTTGTAGCACATAGTACAATATGTCTGTATGTATGTATGTATATATATATATATATATATATGTATATCAGTGGATATATGTGTTGTACTCACCATATTGATAACGCATCAACTGAAACTTCTGCGTTCTTTAAATATCCAGCAAAGAGTATTAATGCCATAAAATACCATACTTCTAGACTGCACAAAATTTTACAGAGAAAACAAAAATTAGAAAATAAGTAGTTATAAGAGAAAATGAATAAAAGGAAATAAGATAATGTGTGGCCAAAAATAGCACATAATAAATCAGGACCACGTGACACTAACATGTGAAGCAACTAACACTGTTTGTATATATATCATGATAAAAATAGTATTACGCAATATGTACTACTATAGTACCAAGTATAAAAAATAATTGAATTGAAAAAAAATAAAATAAAATAAAATAATCCTAAATCTCTGTAATAGCTTAATTGCTTTGTATAATAAGTCACGTGACACACACCAATAAAAGGACACTTTAGATATCATATTAAAAATAAAAATAAAAACATTATCGCAATCATAAATGAAGATCCGCATTAAATTGGTGGGTGTTCTTAATTGAAATTAATATATATATATATATATATATATATATATATATATATATATATGTGAAATTGAATTAATAGATTGAGCCGCCCAAATTACTACAGTAAGTAAATTAGAAGTCTGACCAGAGCATTACAGCAGAGGCAAGTGATAGCCTCACAAACCCCCACAGATTGGAAAAGGCCTTCAATGTAAAACCACTCCATGCTCGACCACACGTCCCACTGAAGATGTAAACGAGCTGAGCCACCACTATGAGCCACCACGACACGTTGAGCACCACGGCGGCGCCCACCATCCCCCACCCCAGCTTCAGCATAAACAGCCAGCTGAACCCCGTGTGCAGTAGCAGCACCACCGCGGCGATCCAGGCCATGGCCATGATCTTGCTCTGCGCCTGCAAGAACTTGGCGATCGGGAAGTTCATCGCGTAGGCGTAGAGTTGCGGAATCATCCACAGCGCGAACTGCCCCGCCGACTCCGATATCTCGGTGGTCTGACCTATGAGTTTCAGGAATTGGGTTGCAAAGATATAGAACCACATCAGTACGAAGGCTGTGCTGTTCAGGATCACCCATGATCTCTGCATATACACCCCTAGCATATCCAGCTGTCCTGCTCCGTACGCTTGTCCGCACAGCGTCTCTAGCGCACTTCCCATTCCCAACTGTTTCAACGAAAAACTTATTTCTTAGATTGGTAAAAAAAAAAAAAAACTTTTAAATAACGAAGACATCTTGTTGGAATTGCCATATATGAAATTGAACAGAATTATTCATTGTTGCAACTCTGCAACAAAATAGACGAAGATTGTGGCGATCATTCACACACCAATAATAATATTCATTTGAAAACTCGAACCCTCATCATTTATTAAACCGTAATAATATCAAACACTTTATATACGAAATTTTTTTATCACGTTAGTGGAGTGAAACTGTTGCAAAATGGACTCGGAAAAGATTGTGTGGCTAATAATTATCAAACAGTGTGGTACCATGACGCCGAAAGAGAAACCGGCGATGACGGAGTTTTCGACGGAGAAGGCGGCGAGCTCGAGAGTGCCGACGTGGCCGGCGAGGACCTGGGTGATGGCGCCAAGGGAGTATTGGCAGAGGCTCGTGAAGATGGCCGGGCCGGCGAGGTACCAGAGCTTTTTGGATTCGACTGTGAACTCTCGGAAAAAGTCTCGGACTCCGGTGATCGGAGTAATGTCGTCTTCGTCGGCAATGAAGGATGAGTAAGATCTGTTTGATGGTCTTTGGAGGCTTTGGGGAGTGTCTGGTGCTTGGACATCCTCTCTGGGACTGGAGAGCAATGGCTGCTTGTTGTTCTCCATGATAGAGAGAGGAGAGAGAGTGAGTATGGGGTTTTTGGTCCTGTTTTCTCACATACATATATATACACACACATACACACATACACGTACACACAGACAAAATCACATAGTTGTATGTATGAATTTTATTTAGTATCTTATATGTTCATTTGTTCAAGTCTTGTCCAATATTGAAGACGTGTATCTAGAAGAAAATGTAGTACAATTGCCTACTTATAATTGAGCAGCTACTCTTCAATAAAAATATATAATTATTATTTTTTAATTACAAAATTTAAAAAATAATAAATAAATAAAATAAGTTCTTTTCGGTAAATCACATTGTAAAAAGTGTTATGAGCTGTATTTCTTAAATTGATTTGGTAATTAATTAAGATAGTATTAAGATAGTAGAATATATTATTACTGTATCTCGTATCTCGTGTATGAAGATAACATACAATTGCTCTCTCTCTTATTTCTGACAAAAAATAATAATAATAATTTATTTTTTAGGTAGTCACTGTTTTTCCTTATTTATTATTTTCTTGATTTTGGAAGATTTATAAGGTAAGCCAGGCATATCATGTCACTAGTATGCTCGGGCAATCAAAATATAGAAATCAATAAATAAAGAGCAATTTTGAGCAAATTTTACTGTTTGATGAATTTTCATTGATTGGGTATACCAATGACGTGGCATAAGACAATGTGTGCATTTTATAATTGGACCACATTTATAAGAGCACTTACTAACTCGTGAGTAAGCAAATAAATATATTCTATTACTTTTTCTTTTTTTTTTTCTTTATATAGTAAATGACGAAAATGTTCTTAATGTTAAGTGTCATGAACATGAAAATTTTTCATAGAGCTTGTAGACTGTAGAGAAATGATGTTCCAATTTATGTTCCCATACTTCAGTTACACTTTTATTAAATGAAATGACACACTTCACAACTGTTTTTTTTTTTTTCCTTTTTTTGGATGTAGTTATACACTTACTTTTTTTAGTTAAATTTATATTATATTTTTTGAAAAAAATAAATAAAGTTTGAGAGTGATTTTCAAAAGTACCACAGATATGACTTTCAAATCTTAATATATTACATGAAAATTAAATATAAGTTGGTCTTGTTTTTCATCTTTGTCGCTTCAAGGAACTAAATTTTTAGGTAGACTAGTGAACAAGGGTCATAAAATATAACCTTAAATTGTATAGAAGGTTAAGCTTTTTGTATTTTTACTATTTTTTGTTTTGTTTTTATGGTAAATGACAAAAGTTTTGTTCAACCTAAATAATATTTGATTCTCACACTTAGTTAGAAATAATAATAATAATTTCCTTTAACAAAAAGTAGATGACAATGAACATGAAAATTTATCATAGAATTTGTAGAGAAATTATATTATTCCAACTTATGTTCCCATGCTTCAGTTACACTTTCATTAAATGAAATGACACACACTACACAACTGTGGTTTTTTTTTTTTCCAAATATATATATATATATATAACTTATATACTTCTTTTAAATTGAAAATTATATTTTTCTTTAAAAAAATAATTAGAGTGATACATAATAGATTTGACTTTCAAATTTTAAATTATTACATAATATATATATATATATATGTTTGCCTTGTGTTTCACCTTGTCAGTTGAGTAACTTATTCAATACCCTACGTAATAATTGAGGATCACACACCTTAATTGTTTAACACATGTAATTTGATCTTCTTCTACGATGGCTTGTGGTCTTACACCTAGAAATTTAGATGAAACTTGGTGAATTCAAAATGTACAAGGCATTTGAGAAAATTTTTAAAAGTTGTGAAATCTTCATATTAGAGATTATTTTTTGAGATATGTGAAAAGTAAAATGAATCATCAGTAATGTTCTTAAAAGGGCTCTTTTATGATAAGAGTAGTGAACATTTCTTTTTTAATTTCTCAGTTAAAAGATGTATTAAATAATTTATTTAACCATGAGGCAGTTCTTTTCCAAGAATTACTCTTTGATAAATTTATATAGATCAACATCTTTATTGGGAGATGATATGTTCCACAAAACACCTTAGGCTCTCCACTCATTGATAACTGAAATGACAAAAATAACCTTCAGCTATATCTTTTGTCTCCCCCCTTTTCCCACTCCTCTCCTTTCTCTCTATGTGTGTTTTCTCTATGTATTTTCTCCATTTTTCATCCAATAGCACTTGAATCACTTTTATCTCCTTAAAATAACTACCTCTTTCTTATAAATTAGAAACAGAGAGTAGAGATGTCACCATTGAAGACAAAGATGAAGAACAGAAGGAACAAAAAAGATAGCCTGTAATTTTATACTTTATGGATTACTATCCATAAAACTCTATTTATTTATCTTAAATAAAGATCACAAACATGAAAAAGACACAAGAACATTTTGTTTCTTCTCCCCAAAGTGATAGGGATGAATTTGAATTTTTTGTTGACCCTTTATATATGTGTTTGTGTGTGTGTGTGTGTGTGTGTGTATTCCTATTTCCTATTGTAGTAAATAATGGATGGGAGTGTTTGCAATGACATGGTAGAAGGTGGCTTTGGGTAATTTGGTAAGGTGATTGATGGAATTGGCGATGGTCGGTTCTGGTGAAACATTTAGGCAAAGAAGGGAAAGAGGTATCAGGAGATCGAGAAGATTATGGATAAGAAAAGAGACGAAGAAAGAGATCCGAAGGTTGAGAAAAATTAGGGGTTATGAAAGAGTTTTCTGATAAAAGGAAAGTGTAGGGTTATATTTGTCAATTTAATTATAAGGGAGTAGAAGTGGAGTGTTGAGGTGTTTCGTGGAGAGCCAATAGCGTGTCCTTACTTAGTGTAATTGATGGGCGCTTGTCCATTTACCCAAAAGTTCAAACTGTTGGGTAGTGCGGCATACCTACCCATTTATACTCACACCCTCGTTGAGGTCGAACCACCCTGCCTATCCAGGGTGAACATTCTCCCCCACCCAAACCTACGCAATACCCTCGTTGAGTTCGGACCACCCTGCCTATCCAACGTGAAACTCCGGACACCCTTCAGGTCGGGCGCTTGGCGTGACATTGAATTGAGGTCGAACCACCTTGCCTATCCAGGGTGAACATTCTCCCCCACCCAAATCTACGCAACACCCTCGTTGAGTTCAGACCACCCTGCCTATCCAAGGTGAAACTCCGGACACCCTTCAGGTCAGGCGCTTGGCGTGACATTGAATTAATGATTGGGTCTGACTCTAATATCAATTGTAACGGGTTAGTCTTTGTCCGTTTACCCAAAACTCAAGCTGTTGGGTAGTGCTGCATACACACCCATTTATATCCAATCACTTTCCCATCAGGATCCGATGTGGGACAAATAACCCTTATTACACCTAGTTACTGTGGTCTCTCCATAAATTCACACATTATTTTTAATTATCAAATCAGAAAAGTAATAAATAAGGTAAATAGAGAGGATGAGTGAATATATATTATCATTTTTATTTTTATAATTGAATAATATATGTGTATTTGTGATTGGACCACATCGGTGAAGAAAAAACATGAGTATGAATATCCGGTGAAAAATTACCTTGATAACCAATCATTGTTTTTTTTTTTTTCCAAAATATAGCCTTCATTTATTCTATTTCATAAGAAATTAATTGAATGTGTATTTTATTCCTGCCGACAATATTTTACACGATTTACATGACAAGTTCTATATTTCTTTAAATTATTTATTGATATTTTCCCTAAAAACAGATGACAAATCAAATTACTCTTACTGACAAAAAATGTTGTACTTATCGGTTTAAAATTATTACGTGCGAGCTTCACTTTCTTATATGCATGCACAAGAAAAATAAATAAATAAAATAATTTGTGATTAGTTTATTGGATATATAAAACATTAGTAATCCAGTGAAAAAGAAGTGAATAATTAAATATTTTACACGATTTGCATGACAAGTTCTATATATCTTTAAATTATTTATTGATATTTTCCCCAAAAACATATGTCAAAAAAATTAGTCTTACTTACAAAAAAATGTTTTACTTATCGGTTTAAAATTATTGCGTGTGAGCTTCACTTTCTAATATGCACAAGAAAGAAAAAAAATTGTGATTAATTTATTGGATATATAAAACATTAGTAATCCAGTGAAAAAGAAGTGAATAATTAAATAGTGGCAAATTAATTTTCTATGTTGCAGACATTTTGGCATGCATGTTGGTTGTAATTAACACCATTTTTCACACCCTATCAAGCCTCGCCAAATATTCTTTAAGACGTTATTCCGATTATTAATTTATTTAATAAAAGAGGCGAATTGAAAAATAAAATTAAAAATTGAAAAAATAAAGAATATGTTAGCAAAAGTTCTAACAAGACCAATAAGAATTTAATGGTGTCAGATACCAATAAATTGCTATTATTTTCAGGCAAATTGAAAAATTAAATTAAAAATTAAAAAAATAAAGAATATGTTAGCAAAAGTTCCAACAAGACCAATAAGAATTTAATGGTTTCAGATACCAATAGATTGCTATTATTTTCAGTTCTTCATTCCCTAAGAAGGGTGGTGCTCTTGTTGTCTGAATGATCAACAACACCTTTATTGTGTAACGAGTTCATCTTACTGTTTTTTTATCATGGATGTAATACACGCGTAGATATATGTATTATACAAATGATTTGAATACACCCGTTTTACGATAATACAAGAAAGTTTTTCATTAAATACTGATCTTTTATATATATATATATATATATGATTCTTCATCTCATATGATTCTTGAACCTAACATTCAAAACAACCCCTAATAAAGGAAGTCAATAGAGTATAAAGAAGAAAGTGAGGAAATTAATGCTGCAACTTCTAAAGCTTTTTGAGCATTAACTAAGATTCTCAAAAAGATTTTTGAAAAACAATGTGTATGCAAAGATATGAAACATAAGCAGTCTCACTTGTCTCACAAAAGTTAAACAACTTAGATTTTGATCTTTTATTTGGCTTTAAAAGCCAATTTTTTTTAAGTTGTAATCCATTGTGTTTTTAAAATTTTGAACTTCATAGTTCTAATCCATTGTGATTTAATTAAACCTATCCTTGTCCAATAGTGGAAGATATTTGGCTTTAAATCA